CTGCAGCCTGACGGCCTCCCCGAGCCTTGGCTGGAGCTGCCACCGTGCTCACCGCACCGGGAGCCTAGCAGAGCCCCGTGCCCAGTGGCTTCGCGAGTGACACTGCACATCTCTCCCCTTCTCCTGCCACCCGGAGCACAGCATGTCGCAGTGCGGCCACTGCAAGGAGGCTCGTGGGCCCCTGACCCAGTACCAAAACCCGGCCCAGGTAGGCCCACTTCTGGGCCTGGGCCAGCTCCCAGGCATTATCCCCCCTCAAGCCCCTCTTCCTGGAGTTAATTTTACCCCTGCATGGCAGGCCGGGAGCTGGGCACGTACCGCACAGGAGGCAGCTGCCACAGGTGGGCGGTGGCCGTGACAAGGCAGGTGACACAGACACAGCTCCGCAGAGCCAGGCCAACGCAGTCCATGAGAGGTGGCGGGACAAAGGCCCTACGTTTTGCTGTGGCTCCTCCAGCAAGGCCATGCAGCTGTCTGCACACATCATCCTGCTGCTTCTGCCCCACTAGTCTGTCAGGGCACATCAAGCACCTATCCTGATGCATCCATCCTGCCACATCCATCTATCTGGGCACCTCCATCCCCATGCATCCCCACTACTATGTGAAGTGAGGCATCTTCATCCCACCGTATCTGTCTTGCAACACCTATCAGGGCACCTAAATCTCAGTGTATTCATCCCACTACATCCATTGGGCACCTCCAGGCTATCACATCCATCAGGGCACACCATCCCAATGCATCAGTCTCGCTCTTGATGCCTTGGGTACCGCCAGCCCACTGCATGCCTCACAGCACTGCTGTCCTGCCATGTCCAGCCTACTATGGCCATGGAAGCAACTCCATCCTGCCCCATGGAAGAGCATATCTCCATCCCGTCATGTCTATTGGGGCACCTCTATACCACCATGTCCATCCCACCACGTCCATCCCAAGACATTCATCGAGACACCTCTGTCCCGGCATTTCCATCTCACCGCATTCTTGCGCGCACAGGATGAAGGCACTGCGCCTGCAATTGGGCTGGAGGTTTTTTCGAGCCTCATTTTACTACTACTGCTGAATTCGGCGCGGGGACCATGTTGACCGTCCTGAGTAAGTCGTTCAACTCCTCGCAGTCTTTCCTTCCCCACCGGGAAATTGGGACTTTTCTGCGCTTTTCGGTGATTTGGGGACTTTTTCTCGGACTCGGTGGCAGGCTGTGGGCTCTGCCGCCAGTTTGGGGAGAGGCACTAAGCGCGTCATTACGGCCTTTGTCTCGTCGTGGAGGACTCAGAGGACTCTGGTGTGCGCCACGGAGGATTTCTGGGCATTTTCTCAATTATCGGGTCTTTAAATTTGCCCAGGACATGGACGCCAGGCCTGGCCCTGGCACCCTCTTTCAGAGACTTGGGCTTAGGTTCCTAAG